CTGGGAGCATGTTGTGCCCTAGCACCGAAGCACCTTGGATCCACTCACTCCCTTTATACTGCAGCTGCGCTGAACTGTGCGGCAGTAGTTTGCGTGTCACCGCTGAGAAAACCAGTGGTTTGAGACACAAAACAATGGCCAAGTCGAACTCTTCAGCCTTGCCTCTGAAGAGGGGGTCTCATTTCTCCCAGACCTCAACATCAGGAAAGTATGCAAATTTCAGAAGTGCATTTACATTAAACTTGATCATATTCCCCTGTATTTATACTCGTTTTCTTACTTTTACTGAATTTTGCCCATGAATTTTACTTGGAATGGTTCTCATCAGCCTTTCAGATGGTCAGTTATCTCTGTTGGGAGGAAAATGAGTGAAAGAATGGAATCCACCTCCCTCATGGATTTGGACCTGTTCTTCGTTGAAAAAGTTACTTATAGATAAAACGCACTCTGACTCCAGGCATGCTCTTGGTTCCTCTGTCACTCTGGGGAGATTATTTCATTTAAAAACACCAGGTACATATGGCAGGGAAAAACATTACAGAGTTGTCATCACAAATCCCCTTTATTCTGAATCTGTGACCAGCCTGGAGTGACCCAGGGTCAAAACACTGTAAATTGGGATTTTTTTAAATGAATTATCTTTACATATTCACACAAGAAACATTTATTTTTTAAAAATGTATTAATTTTTACACCTGCTGGGTAGCACAATACTATTAACACTATACCTCACTGAATGTACAATAAATGTTCACATTTAAATAACAGGATATAGTCAATATTTTCGACCAGTAGGTCAGCTTTAGCATCTCATGAAGTGCTTTTTAGCCCTATTTATCCTAAGAGATTTTAAAAGGATAATTCCAAATCAGAAAACAATTCAACAAGATCAAAACAATAGGTTATTCCAGAGTAGCAGGAATATTACATGATGAAATATCTATTTATCTGGCTCCAAATCAAACAATTAAAATGTAAAATATATACATAACCTACTCTCAAATTTTCACCCTGTCCTAAATGATTTCTACAGTGTCAAATACCTTGAGAGAGGCCAAAATATAAACATTGACTACATATACAGTTTCCAAATTAGTTCGGGTGGTTTATCATCTCACAACTCTTCAAATTCAAGTCCGTTTGAAAATCTATGTCTTCGAGATGAATGTGGGGAATACCTGATCTTAAAGCAATGCTATTTGGCATTGACTACAACCCAAGTTATGGTTGATTACATACAAATTAATATTAGAGTCTTTACTTATTCCACACAAGGGCAAAAGAATTAGAAAACGACAACTAAAAGGGAAAGCGACAAAGAAGTACTTCCACGTTTTTCTCCATATATTTTAAAACTTGAAATAACTGGCATAAAACGAACATTCCATTCAGTGGAACTTTTCCATTTTAATCAATAAATTATTCCTGAGGGAGGGAGAGATACCTGACTGGTTCATATTAAAAAGGACCCATTGGGACCAAATAAATTTAAGTTACAAACAATGAAATTGGACTTTTGACAAAGTCTAATATATTTTACCTAATGAGTCCTTCTAATTGGAACAAGTAAGTAAAAATCCAGGTATTTACAGCCATTACATTGGTGGGGCTTTGTGACCCAGAGCCTCTATTTTGTGATTCTACATCAATATTTTCTGGTGAAAATATCAACATTTTTTTTAACAAATAAGATCTAGAGTAATCAAATATCTTTCTCAAGTTCGCTTAGTACCCAATTTTGGGGGAGGTTAAATGAGATCTCAAAAATAAAGTGCAAAGTCTGTATATGACTAGAGTTATGTCCACAGAAATGTGTGCTTTTCCAAAGGATATCTTTCCCATAAAGAAGCTACTGCGTTTCTTCATTTATAGAATCAATTTTACCCCAAAATGTAACTAAATTAATTAATTTCATTAGGAGTTAGATCTTTACATTATGTAGTGATAAATTTTGTTATGCAATCATTATTTTTAAAAGTCTGCCAGTAACTATGTCACAAAAAGTTGCTAAAATACATAATGATTTGTGAGAGGTTTTATGCATATAATTGGAATGTAAAATAAAAAGAAGGAAAATATCATTTTCCTCTTTTGAATTTAAAGCAGCTAGGAGGACACATCAGAAAAACTGTAACTGAGGCAGATTTATTTTCCTCTCCCAGCAAACAGTATTGTGTCATAAAGATTAAACTTCTTCTAGATCCCTTGTAATTACCTTACTATGTTAGAAAAATGGCCCCCGCATATTTTTATTTTTCCCCTAAGTATGAAGCCGATCGATCATCTTACCAAAAGCTCCATTGAGTTTAAAGTGTAAGACAGGAGGAAGGCCACTTTCTCTTCCAACTGTAAGGAATGTTCATTTTAGATACCATTAAAAGTACTGATATACATTGAATTCAGAGAACGAGGGTCGAATATTCCACTGATAAAGGCATGGTATTCACCCTTTACCAATGAGTGGCAAATGGATCCTGCAAGGCAGTGATGATTTTTATTTTATTTTCATATACATATATATGATCTAATAATTTATCTTACATGAATATCTCCTTTTTAATGCAATCACAACCAGGAAATAGAAAGCAAAGCTTTAATGCAAGGGTTTAAATTCTGCTGACATCAGGTAACCGGTTCCCTTATAGGGAATCCACCTCTGTAGCAACTGCTATCAGAATACAAGGCTCTAACCTAATTAGCAGAAGGTCAGATTCCATAGTAAGTACTCCCCACAGACAAGTTTCCCACCCCCATCCCCAACAAAAAGGAATGTTTTTTAAAAAGTCAGCAATAAGCAAAATTTTAATGATATTTTTCTTTCAAAATATCACTACCAAACCTTTGAGTCACCATTTTCAGTTTTCGTTTTCACTAGGCTCCCTTCTTTAAAATAGGACAACTCAACAATCACAAGAGAAAGCAGCTCTGATCTATAAAACCAGACACCACCACTCCTCTTTCAGTGCATGCCTTAGAATTACGTTCAGTAGCCATTTCACTGATGCATCTTTCCTCCACCTTCCACATGAACACAAAAGACCACTTAAAAATTCCATAAAGGAAAAGTAAGACTTTGAATGTTAAAAAAACAACTTAAGAGGGGGCAAAGTCTGTTCACCTTGAAAACAATTTTCCTCTGAGATTTCTGCCATTTAATTGCATAAACTCACTAGGATTTGATGAGCTGATTTGGTAAAGATCACCTTGGTAACATAAACTCCATTGTCTATATGAATGTCCAAACTGTAGTTTCTAACTCTTGAGGGAATAATAAAAATGTAAAAGCAGCGTTCTAAGTGTCCAAAGCTTAAAGACTTGATGAATTAGAAGAGACATGATGGGACTGCCTGATTCTATCCCTCGGGTGGAAGTCACGGCTTAGTAATGTGCACTTCACTGCTTCCATTCCCATTGGTGGTGGTGGTGATGATGTACTGAGTGGTCTGTTGTTGGCTGCTTGTCTGGGGATCCAAGGACTCGTGTACAGATGGCTGGACCTGGACTCCACTGGAAAGGGCAGAAGGCTGCTTTTCCTCCAATTCTGGCTGACTTTCTGATAACACATAATGACCCTAGGGCAGGAAGAAGAGGATTTTTTTAAAATTTGAAGCTTCAAAGAGGATGGAGGATTTGGGGGAGGATGAAGGACTATGCAAAGAAGTGTTACAAGGGGACACTAAAATCGGGCTCCATGAGAGATGGTTTCACCTCAGTCCTTTGGGAAGGAATGGTCAGCAACAGTCATTGACTAAATAAGTAATTCATGGGAGCCCTTTGGTTTTTCTAGCACATGTTATAGTCAAGAAAGTTTAAAGAAAGTTCTATACCTACACTTTATCGGGTCTAGAAATCTGCATCAAAATGGTAACCTACACGGCAAAGAAAATATGGTACTGCGTTGCTCATAAGAATGTGGAAATGGGGGAAATATATTGTTTACTGTCAATTAAATTTGTAGATTAATACAAGATAGATGTTAAAAGATATTTAAAGTCACATAAAGAGGCAAATGGCTCCTGAAGCAAGGTGTCAAGATCAATGCTGCCTGGACTTCAAGATGACGACACAGTGGTTACAACGATGGGCTCAAACATAGGAGTGATTTTGCAAAGACTTGCAAAAAAACTTTTTAAATCTGAACATTTTATTCTCCCAAATGATGGTATTTAAAATCTGAAAGGGATGTAACACTCACAAGCACTAAAAGAATATAATCTTCAAATAAAGTCCCTTACTTTGAATAAATTCAAGCTATTGGAAAACTCACACCTTGTCTTAATTTTTTCTCATTGTTCCTCTGATTGTGAAAACTTCTTCATAGACCTGCAGCTGCCTTTTTCAGATATGAATATGTTTTAAAGACAGAGTATGTCAGATGTGACTAGGAAAGAAACAGAGAATGAAAGTCACAGAGGAAAACTCAGGCAGTAGCTTTTCCAAGCACTGTATAAACAAACAAAAACCAAATTCCCACGTGATTCATCTAGAGCTGTGTGCCGGAGTCAGTGCTTGCCAAGCAGCTTTCTGGTGAAGATTTGGTTTCCCATGTGGGGTCGCCTTCTAGGGTTAGGCGATGGTTCTCCACCTAAAGTCAACTGACCCTTAGGATGTCCGTGGGTGAGCTTTAGAGAAGCGATGTGCTCCTGAAAACAGACATTCAAATGTGTGTACACATTGGCTTGGAGGGAGAGGGAATATCCGTGGTCATAACTAGTTTCTCTAAGGATTTCTGGTCAAAAGTGGTAAAAAAAAAAAAGGGGGGGGGTGAGTGCTACAGGGAACAAAAACAATTCACTGAGGAGATCAATGTGGCGCTTTCATTTTACATTAGTCATTATTCTCATTGACAACTAATGCTTTGCTCCTCTGAGTGTCTACACCTCTCCAGCTGTTAGGTGCCATCACGTTGGTTCCAACTCAAAGAAACAGAAGCATTGCCCACCCTGTGCCATCCTCAAAATCACCCCTATGTTCGAGCCCATCGTTGTAACCACTGTGTCGTCATCATGGTGTCTCCTTCAAAGTGTTCCCCTTTTGCAACGACCCTCTAATTTATCAAAGATGTGGTCCTTCTACAGGGCTGGTCCCTCAGGATAACACGCCCTAAGTGCAAGAGATAAAGCCTCACTATCCTCACTTCTGAAGAGCATTCTGGTAACTTCTTCCAAGGCACATTTGTTTTAAATATTCCATTCCATATTCATGGAATATTGATATTCTCAGCCAGTACCATAATTCAAAGGCATCAACTCTTCTCAGTCGTCCTTATTCACTGTCCAGTTTTTGCATGCCGATGCTCAGGTCAGACACACTTTAGCCCTCAAAGTGACATCTTTGCTTTTTGATACTTTAACAAGCTCTTTTCCAGCGGATTTGTCCAATGTAAGAACATTTTATAATAATACTTTTCATTCTTGGGCCACTTTTTGAAACCTTCTGTTTGGTCTTTTACTTTATCACTTCTTCTATTTCCTTTACCTACTCTACATTCAAGAGCAAGTTTCAGTGTCTCTTGTGATCCATTTTTTAATTTCCTTTATTTTTAACAGTCTTCTGCTTTCATCATACAATTTTCATGATGTCATCCACCACTCAGCTAGTCTTTGGTCAGTAGTGGTCAATGTATCAAATGTGTTCTTGAAATGGTCTCTGAAATCAATTCAAGGTTGTATGGTTTGGGCTTATTTTAAATCTCCAGCTTTACCATGAACTTACATATGAACAAATGATGGTGTACTTCCACAGTAGTCCCTTGGCCTTGTTCTAACTGATAACAATGAGCTTCAGGGACCATAGGACAAAGCAGACCTGCTTCCTAGGATTTCCTAAGGCTGCTATAACTCTTTACAGGAGAAGATAGTCTCATCTTTCTTCCACAGAGCTGCTGGTAGATTTGAACTGCTGACCTTGAGGTTTGGCCAACTTGGAACACACTATGACACCAGGGATCCTTGTTCTTGGGAGCAGGTTGAGGAAAGGAGGTGTGCGAATTACTTAAAGGAGTTTAAGATAGCTTCATAATTGGTTCATTACCATATATACTCGTGGATAAGCTGAGTTTTTCTGCACATTTTTAATGCAGTTTTTGTAGTAAAATTAGGTGCTTCGGCTGATATATGGGTCGACTTATATTCGAGTATATATGGTATATTATCCTCTCCTAATCCAGTTGAAGAATAATAGTTTTAAGGACATGTATACTTTAAACAAAAAACAAAAAACAACCCAGGGCTGTCAAGTTGAGTCTGACTCATAATACGGATTCACAGAGTAGAGCTGCCCCATAGTGTTCCCAAGACTGCCGATCTTTATGGAAAGAGACTACCTCATCTTTTCACAGAGTGACTGGTGGGTTTGAACTTCCAACTTTTCAGCTGAAGGTCAATGCTTAACGCATTGTTGCAACATGGCTCCTTTCTAAGAAGCACATGAAAGTGGTCAGTTATGAATCCCCATGTATACTGATACAGAGTTTCATTTTACAATAAACCTGTGAGAGCCAGACAGAAATCTATAAGAGAAGGGAAGTTCAAAGCATTTGTCCATTACAACAAGCAATAGAAAAGTGGTAAGACTGCACCCTGTCAAAGGTGGAAACTTGCAAGACTCAAAAAACATGGCAGTCCAGAACATCAAGTTCTAGATCTCCCATGTTTTATTGTAGCTATTAGTTGAATAGACATTTATTGAAATTTTGCTATATTCCAGTTTCCATGCAAAGCATTGAGCAAAAACAGATAGAGATGAAATTCCAGCTTTCAAAGAATTCATAATAATCTACTAGTGAGAAGACAGATGAGTAAATCAATAAACAAGCTGTAATAAGGGTATATGGGGTGTTATGGGGATAAAGAGAAAGTAGCTCAAATTCTGATATAGGAGGTGGGGAAGGACAGTGGTAAAAATGTTGGGTAGGAAAACCCCCCAAGCAGAATAGCTTACCGGAGTAACCGCTTTGACTTGGCCAGTGGTGACGGGAGCTGCTACACCACTATCTGTAATCACAAACTGACCAGGAGGGAGGGTCATCATTTGGATCTCAGATGCTGAAAAACAGAAAATAACCACAGGTCAGTGTTCTCAGATTTTAGAACAAATTGTAGAAACAAATACCTAACTGGAGGTCAAATTGTCCACTGAGGCATTTTCCATGGATTTGCTCCATGAAATTATTATGCTGAAGTGATTTCTTGATGAAGCTAATGCATCTTCTATAAGAACGGATCAGCAATCATATCGATGTAAACGTGGGGGAGGATGGAGCGGAGACCCAAAACCCATCTGCAGATAATTGGACATCCCCTCACAGAAGTGTCACAAGGAAGAGATGAGCCAGTCAGGGTGCAGTATAGCACTGATGAAACATACAACTTTCCTCTAGGTCTTTAATGCTTCCTCCCCTCCACTATCATGACTCCAATTCTACCTTATAAATTCAGTCAGACCAGAGCATGTATACTGGTACAGATAAGAGCTCAAAATACATGGAATCCAGGATAGATCAAACCTTCAGGACAAATAATGAAAGTAGCGATAACAGAAGGGTAGAGGGAAGGTGGGGGGAGAAAGGGGGAACCAATACCAATGATTGACATATTAACCGCCCCCCCTCCAAGGGGACGAACAGAAAAGTAGGTGCAGAAAGACAGTGGTCGGTGTAAGACATGAAAAAAACAAGAGGGGGGAAAATTAGCTGATACCAAGGGCACAAGTAGAAAGAAAACGTTTTGAGAACGGTGATGGCAGCACATGTACGAATGTGTTAGACACAATGGATGGATGGATGGTGATAAGAGCAGGAAGAGCCCACATTAAAATGATTTCTAAAAAACCTAATAATTTATACATTATCAAGGGTTCTTGAGGGAAGGAGGGTGGGGGAGGGAGCAAAAAAATGAGAAGCCGATACCAAGGGCTCAAATAGAAACAAAATGTTTTAAAAATCATGATGGTAGCATATGTACAAATGTGCCTGACACAATGGATGCAAGTACTGATTGTTATAAGAGTTGGAAGAGCTCCCAATAAAATGATTTTAATAAAAAGTCTCCCTAGCACCAAGTTTATGGTCTCTACAAGGGGTCTCGGGTCTACTCGAAGGAAGCAGGATGTCTTTGGACAATGGCTGATTCCAGAACTGCGGTAGAAGATCTATAAGGTGAGCCGAGAATGTCTTGTCATGTCCCAAAGCAAGACATTATCTAACACTATTACTAAAGTTCTGTCAAAAGGATACAAGCGCCTACTTGGCCCAAATCTCTGTAAGAACAACAACTGTGATGGACTGGAGTACAGCAAAGCGGTTATAGCTCATGGGTACAGAATAATACTAAAGCACACACAAACTCCTCGTGAGTCACCTTGGATAAATACTAGGAATCTACGTCATTATTTTGAAAACTAGGAGGTAAAGGAATGAAACAATTGTTTAAATATCTATTTTGTGCAGGGTATCTGGGTAGTTTTGGTAAAAATCTTCTCTTTAGAGAAGTTTTGTCGCTAAGTATTGAGAAATAAAGCATGAAAGAATTAGAGTACCACAACTTTGCATCCGTAGTGAACTAATGGAGCAGGTAATTAATTTCAATGGCTGCTAACACAAAAAAGAGAAAACCAACCATAATATGCCCCTTGCTATGAAGCATCTTGGGCGGTCAGCAGAGAATGAATCTGAATGTTTTCAAGTCTCTATAGTTAATCATCAATCTACAAGGAATATGAGGAGCATAAAAATAGTACATTAAATGATATCACAGGGACGCAACCCACAAAATCCTGAATGGGAAAAACTAATCAACAAAGAAATCTGTTTCTTCAACACATAAAATGCAATCTAAAAGAAACAGCATATAGATTTAAGAAAAACTCTGATAACATAAGCAGTTGGAATATGTGGTCCTTAATAAAATACAAAAATAGCATAACACAATAAAAGCATTTATAAGAACATACAAAACACAAGTAACAAGATGACAGACGTCACTGCTTACCAGTAATTACAGTGAATGCAAATGAACTACATGCTCCAATGAAAAGGAGAGGGTGGCAGAATAAATTCAACAATAAAAAACATGATCCAACTACAGTGAACCCTCGCCACTTCGCGCTTCGACTTCCGCGGCTTCACTCTATCGCGGTTTTTGCATAACAGCACCCACTGCCTACACTCGCTCCTTCAGAGGAAAAAGACGGTGACCCACCTGTAGAGTACATCCCTTAAGTCATTTCATAGGC